TAATACTAATACTAATACTACTACTCATACGAATACTAATGCTAATACTAAGAATACTGCTATCCTGAAAAAATCCCCGGCAAGGCCAGTCACCACCACCAGCACCTCAAGCCCTGCCAACTCAACCCTGAACCTCAAATCAATGTACTACTCCCAGACCCCCGGGAGGAAAGTAGATCCCTTAATGGGGGTTGTTATCAAGAGCCCTTAGTAGTATGGGGTCCCAAATTAGGGGTCTACTTTCTAGATCCTCCCGGGGGTCTGGGCTAGGGTTTAGGGTGTAATGTAGGGGCCTCAACAATTAGAATGGGGTTTCGGGTATATGATACTATAAGTGTAATAAGGAACCCCCCAAAATAGTATAGGTAGTTACTTAGGCCCCTATATTCGGGTTTAGGGTAGAGGCCCTTCGAATTAGACATAGGGCTTTTGGATATAGTAGGTTATAGTAAGGTTATGGTTGAAAACGGCTTCAAGACAGACATACTCGGGCTCGCAATCATCTCCCAAAGCAGGCGCTGCTTTAGCTTAGGAACTGTTCGTATAGCACTAGGCGTCCACTGCACCGTCATCATGTTGTCGAAAGCTTTGCAAACTCTACTGTAGGCAACATCTTATAGGGGCCTTGTGCATCTGGAGCAAAACTAGGGAATACGCAATACTACTACTGATCAAGCCTGACCCCGATATGGGTAGTTTTCTAAATAGGGTCCCTTTGTAGGTCCCAAATATGGTACGGCACCTTAATTAAAAGGACCCAAAAAGGGACCCTAGTGTAGAGAACTGGCCATATTGTTTCCGAAATGAGGCAGGAGCCGTCACGGGTGCTAGTCACTCTAGGCAGGAGGCCCAGGCTTATGCAGAAATGTGGATGGATGCCGTTCAGGATTCCATCTACGAAATCGGCGTAATGCAGGGGCCTGAACAGTTAATTAAGATATACTTGGACTATAAGGGGATACTGTGATGAACCAGGTTGGAAATGTGGCAGGGATTCAGCGCAACACTCAGTCAGAAGGGTTCCGAAACATCAAAAAGCATAGTGCCCACGACGACTCCGGCATGCTACCTACGAGACCTCCAAGCAAAAGATGCCTCGGCATGGGCTGCCTCAGGAGCTACCAGTGCCGCCGCACCTTGTGGACTCAGGCCCAGAGACTCCAAAACCCCTTAATTGAGCAATATACCTTAAATCATATTAGGGTTCCTAGTATAGTTGAAGGTATATTCCTTAGTTAAGGGGTTTTGGAGTCTCTGGGGATCTAGAGGTGTTGGTCTTGAGCCCTACATCCAAGGGAAGGCGAGCATTTAATTTTAGCATTCTTGAAGCTGAGCCTTGGACCAGGGTTTAGTGTTTAGGGTATCAAATCCCTTAAGAACTTTTGCAGGTCCACGGAGTAGGCCTGACAGCTCCCATGCTTCGACACTGTTAATTACCCACATTCTGTCATACGAGGGTCAGGTTTTGGGGATCTGCTGATTTTGCGTGGATCTCAGACGCTCAACTGCTTTAAGAATATTTCACCCTGTCAGTTGCACCACTGGCTACTGTTCCGAATGTAGCAACCCAAACCATAAAGCTTGAACCCTGAACCGTCATGCCTAAACCCTAAGCCTAAACCCTGAACTGCCTAACTACTGCCCGAACCCGAAAGCGTAGACACCTCAACCCGCTTGCTGCCATGGTGCTGAGGGCTGCGGTGGCAGCGTGAGGCGCCGTTGGGGCAGGGGTTGCACGTGGTGCGGCCACGAAGGCCGTGAAGAGAGCACCTTGCATCGTTCAGGTTTAGGACTTCAACCAGGGTTTAGGGTTTAGGG